AACTTTTAGTCGATATTGCTTTTAATGAATATTTCCTAACTCCCAGTTAAATGTTTTTACAGTTTGTATCCAGTTAAGATGTTGCTTTTAATGAATATTTCCTACCTCCCAGTTAAATGTTTTTACAGCTTGTACCCAATTAAATATTTGTACAGTTTATACTATAACTGTCCGTGTGATTTATGAAATTTATAATTTGTGCATCCACCTCTGCTTTTGAATGGTTTCAGTTCACCCTCTCACCGTTACATGTGCCAATTTTTTTGTAATGTTATTTTGGATTCGTTTTGAATTTTTTTTTTTTTTACTATAATGTTTCATACATAATGGATGAATATCACATTGCTTTCCCGATTGATGTGTAATATACTAAAATTCTTTGAGCAGTAAAGTAAGTTAGGGATGTGATAGTGACATAGTAATTTTGGTTGTTCATAGTTGTTGAAATTACATAATATATGCTACAATATCACCACCAACAACTATGGTTCTATCTGTTGCAGCTTCTGTGCAGCAACATTCCTCGATTGATGCCATCTGAAGCTGGTGAAGAAGCTCACCAGCTATCCCGTCTATGGAAACACCTAGGCAATATTGTATCATGCTGTTATTCTTCCCATTATTTCGACTAGCAGTGAGCTATTAAAACACTAGCAAATTATTACTTGATGTAGTTATCTATCTCTTTTCTTGACACTAACATATCTTCAAGAAAAACAAAACCCATGCATAGCACGGGCGAAAACTAGTTTTTTTAAAAATGTTACATATTATCATTGGTGCTATAACACAAATCTAAATGACATGATGTGATTGATTCAATAAAAGTATAATTAAAGAATTATTCTACGTATACATCATTACACCCTAATGTACATAATGTCTAAGTGGCTAGTAAATGATGAAATGCCACTTGGACATAACGTAAACCCTGATGTACATATAGCAAAACACATAATTTAATAATTCATTTAATTGTATTTCTCATTTAATATCTCATTAGTGCCACCGAGATTGATGATTTAACAATTAATACGAGTGGTACTAGATAATATTACTCTTAATAATTAGGGAGTATTGAGATATTGTTGGGGAAGAAAATATTTGTTGATAATAATGATGTCATAAATGACACAAAATAATAGTGAAATTTAGCCTCTGTTTCATTAAGCTAAAAAATTAAATTAAAATTTATGTTAAACTCGACAAATAATTTTAGTCACATATTTAATGAGACCCACAGTTTTTAAACCATATATATTATCAATTTTTATTAAAATACACTAAAATATAATTGTCATCTAAATCAAACAGGGGGTTAATCTCATTTATGTGATGCATTTCCTTTGACTTAGTTTTTAAACCTTCTTACTGAACTAAAAAAAAAAATTTCCCAATGATTAGCCTAAATATATTTCAATCACCTCCTAATTAAAGTTTTCGACATATATCACTATGTGCACGCGTGCAAATAATCTAACATATATCACTTTTGTGGACCTGTACAATTGATCCAATATAATTCACTATGTCCAATACTGAAAATGAACACTATCATTAATCTAAAATATAAATCATTAAATTAAAATTCTTATTTTAAAATGTACTTATTTACTCATAAGTAAGCTTGCTCCTTAATCTTTATAACTGAGATTGGCTCAGCCAGACACAAAGCAATAAAGAGCACAGGGTTTGTCCACGATACAATAATAAGGACCCAAGAATATGTTTCTTGAAAATCTTTTAGGGTCCATGAAAAGGTTATATCAATTAATGATGTCATAAATTAGACACTTTATGTCAATTATGATGAGTAGTTTAGTATTATAGTGTTAGGGCGAAAAGTTGATAATTAATGATGTCATAATTTAAGCAAATTATTACCTACGCTATAATTATTTTTCAATTATAACTAGTAGTGTTTTTATTCAGCGTATGTTTGAGTCTTATTTTTGACTAAGAATGTATTTTGTAATAGTAAATTGATGTAAAATGTGTAGTTAAAAAATAAGAATTTTTTGATTTGCGTGTAATATTATTTTATCGAAACATATATGGTTGAAAAGAAGAGACAAAAAAATGTATTTTGAAAATAACGAAGATCAAACAAGGGCTAAATAAATAATTTTCCATGATCAAATATAAATCACAACATACATAAAATCTACTAGCAACACATGTAGCATTGAATCCATACCATTTTGACATTTACATTATGACAATCCATCGATAACTCTTTTAGGGTGTGTTTGATGGAGATTATTGGAGAAAGAATGTATTTTAAATAGTACGATGGAAATGTGATTGAAAAAGAAGGAAAATATGATGAGAAATGTGTGATTGAAAAAGAAGGAAAAGTTAAAAGTTATTGATGTGATGGAAAATATTATTTTATTGAAAAATGTATGACTGAAAATAAGTAGAAGAATGAGAATTAAAATGTGGCTCAAAGAGGGACTTAATAATATTAAAAAAAATGAAATTAAATTACTTTTTATTATTCTATATAGTATTCTCCCATAATGGTACACAACAAACTTTTAAGGCACGTCTGACGTATTTAATCTTTACCCGGCATTTGATGCAAGCAAGATTTCTTGGAAGGTCTTCATGGCAGAAGCTGGCAATCCCACAATCACATTAATGCCACCTTTCATTTCTTTTCCTTGCAATGCGAACACAATAAGTTCCTTGTCAGGCGAGCCTAGAGACCCTGACACAACAGGGTCTCCCCAACCAAAATTAATAGTATGGAAAGATAGCTTGGACCAGGTTGTAATCCGTAGGGTTCCAGACTTAGATGGCCTGGCTCGAGTTACCTCAAAATAGTCTACAGCAGATCTCATGTAACAGTCTGCAAGAAAGTTAAGAATTATAATTTGTTTCAATTCAAACAACAGAAATTACTTAGATATAAAGACTTTAGAACTTGAGTTAAATGACTTAAATGAAACTTCGGTACAAGTAGACGGATAACTATGGCTTTTACCCTAGAAATCCAGTATTAAGAACAAGAAAGATATAGCCAAGTTCTAGACTGTCGACGGTAAAGGAAATTAAGGGCCCGTTTTGCTAATTTTATAAAAGTATTTCTGATAGTTAGAAGGGCTTTTAGAGGAAGCTAATCCAATGTGAATTCCTCCAAAATCATTTTCGGAATAGGAAGTGCGTTTAAAAATCAGTTTTCAAATAAAAATTAAGATAACGTTCCCCAGAAGCTCTTTCAACATAAGCAAAAGTTATGCAAAACGGGCAATAAATGTTGTATGTAATAGTCAAGATTACCCGTGACCATTTTAACTTCATCATAGACTAGTTTCACTGCAAATGAAAGATGATTTTTCACTAGATCACCTGTACTACAGAATGAATATGTAACACAATTCCATTGCCAAAGAATCCCTGTGGGAGTGGTGGATCAAATCTCGACCGGCCATTAACTACGAAAAGGAGTTTCATCTGCTTCATTTTTTTTTATAACCGTGGATGTCCGGGCCAACTTGCGCGTACCTCAACTAATCCCACGGGTCCCTGAAGTTTACGGCCAGGTACTCATCTCAGTAGCGTTGAGGGGATTCGAACTGGTGACCATTGAGGAGCAAACCTAAGGCTTGACCAATTGAGCAACCCCTCAAGGTTAATCAGGCTTCATTTTTAATGCATGACTACGAGATTTCTAAACAAAAGCCGTAAGAGCTTCAAATCTGGAGCATTTATGAAGATTTCCATCCTCTAAGGCTTTCTTTATGAGATTCTCAAGCTTTTCGGGGTCAAAATGAAAGGATTTGCAAATGATTTCTTGTTTGTAAAGTTGAGAAGTGTTTGATTAGAACCTTCTTCATTTTAGGTCTAAATTCTTCGCTTTTGTGATCTTGAATATCAGAAAATTCATGGTGGGGAAATTCAATCTAGGGCAGGGGCGGATCTAGGGACGGTCCGAGCAATGCTACAGCCTGTCCCTCCAGCCCAATTGGTAATCAAAACAAAATTTAAGTTAAAAAAACAATATTTGTGTGATTTTATTTTTTTTGCATATTAGCCCGTGCTAAATTCTTTTCTGGATCTGCTACTGATCTGGGGTGGATTTATTGCTCTGAAAATAGTTCTGTCAAGAAATGGAAGGACTTTAACTGGCAAATTCCTAGCAGTTTCACCCCAAGAACTAAAAAAATCCATTGCACCAATTCCATCAAGCATACAATGGTTCATGCACATCCTTATCACAAAACCTCCGCATTTGAACTTCGTTACCTGAAAAAACCATCATGGCAATAATGCTGAGATTAAAGAAAAATAAAGGGGACCCTGGTACACTATACTAATGAAATTAAACCATTTGAGAACCCGCTCCATACTAAGCCCCTCTTTGGTTAGAATTAAAATCTCAAGTCAAAGTCAACAATTAATTTTAACACAAATTTTTTGGGACCCACAACTTTTTAACCACTCATGTCATCAATTTCTATCAAAATTATCTAAAAATCTGATTTTAATCTCTACCAAATAGGGACAAAATGAATGGCCCAAAGCAGTGGTGGAGTCAGGATTTTAGGCGGTGACAAAAAATGTTAAGGGGCAAAAATATGTGTTATGCTATAAACATTCAAAATTTCGACGTAGAATTTAAGAATGTTGCGGGCGGTTGCCAATCCCGGCTCCCTCTAGGTTCGCTTCTGTCTTAAAGTAGAGAGAGTTATTTTGACAATTGCATTATTCTAGCTGCGAGGAATTTAAAGAAAGCAACTTACTTGAGCCACCATGGGAGGAATTTCCAGTATATTTTCAGCACCAGGAATATCATAAACAAGCCGACAAAGCATCCCATTACAAGGCTTCGTAATATCACCTAAATCTTCTAGTTTACAATCCGCTTCAGCCGCCACAAACACTGCCCCTCCGGCCGTGCAATCCACCGCAAGTTTCTTATCCGAACTGATCGTCAGCTGCCCTGCAAGCAGGTAGAAATGCACAAGAACTCTAGACAGTGTGTCCTTGATTATTTCTACACCATTTTCATTGCTTTCCTCTTCGGATTTGAAGCCGTAAACTGTTCACATTGTGACAGCAATGTTTTGATCCAAGTTGGGCTGGTCGGGCAGGGCCGTACCTGTGTTTCGTAGGGTCTGAGGCGAACTTTAAAAGTTGGGCTCCTAAGTCATGGCAAACAATCTACAAAGGGAAGATATATGGAATAACAACTACAAGCATTCTGACAAAATTCAAAGAAGTTGGCTTGACTAGAAATGGATGAATATATAGGATAATATAAACATCTACAAATAAAGTGCAAAATGATGGCATGAAATCAAACAAAATGAATAAAATACAGCTCCAACTGAGAACAATGTGCATACAGAATATCGTTAGTCAACAGAGAGCAAAATATCATGCCCGCAGGTAGATTCTCCGCCTAAACCTTCCAAAATATTTTCAACTACTCATAAACAGTAACAAGCCGTCAACACGTTAAATAAACCCAGGAAGATAGAACAAACTGAAGCAAAACCAAATCTACCAACACTTCACAAATTAAAAGAACAAAAAAAAAAATAATCTCAAACTCCGCCTTTTATCTGCATTTATCTTCTTACTTAACCTTGTCAATTTATTCAATGACTGACTGCCGAGAACACTAAAATGTGATTGCTCAGAAATCAGAATGTTCTTAACTTTATGATGTGAAATAGCGGCACATCTATAAAGAAGTGGACAATACCACGTGGTGGAACAGCAGTAACTGCATTACACAATGCACAGCAAACATTTGTAGCTCCTGTGGGATAGAGGAGGACAGTCCTACACCCATTGCACACTACTTGGCTCTACTTATCTGCAAAACCCAAAATTTGTTGAATTATGATGATGAAGCTAACCGTGTGGCAGATGACATGGCAGCAGATGAAATGGCATTACAGTTAGCCAAACGAGATGACTCAAGCATCAATGGTGGTCCAGCATTGAGGGAATGATCTAGAAGAGAAAAAGGATCTAGAAAAATTCATCACATGGAGTTTGTTATTTTTTTTGTAACCATATTTGATTCTTTGTAAATATTCCATTTTGTACCGGTTTGTAAGTTTATAAATCTGCTGTAAATTCATTCACATAGCATCAATTCAATTATAAGAATTGTAATCAAAGCAATTACATTTTTAGCTGATTGTTAGTCATTTTATATTTTTCATTCTCTTTCATCTTATTATATGGTATCAGAGCCAAAATAATGGCTGAACAAAACGTCCAAACACAAAATGTTGAAATTCAAGCTGATTCATCAAATGCTAGTCCAAATCAAAATCCTAGAATTAATCCTGAAAATGGATCTGATTTCAAGAACCTCGAACCTACACACCCAAGCAGCCCCTATTTCATTGGAAGTAATGATGGAAATTGGGGGTATATTGATTACTCAGATACTGGAAGCATACAATTATCATGCCTGGGCTAGGTCCATAAAACGAGCCCTTAGAATCAAGAACAAGTTGGTTTTCGTAGATGGGACAATCTGCAAACCAGCAGACCAGAACGACCCCTTAATGGAACATTGGCTAAGATGCAATGATATCGTGATTACTTGGCTTTAAAAACCATGGCAATGGACATCAGGAGCAGCACTGTGTGTGCTGAAACTGCACATCAATTATGGTTGGAGCTCGAGCAGCGTTTTGCACAACAAAACGCACCTAGAATCTATGAGGTTAAGCAGGCCATTATAGTTCTGGTTCAAAGCCAAGATGATGTAAGTGTTTATTTTTGTAAGTTTAAGACTCTGCTAGATGAACTTCTGAACTATGAGGCCATTCCCAATTGCACTTGTGGAGGCCTGAAGATAGTAGTTGAGAACCAACAACGAGATTGGGTAATGAAATTCTTAATGGGGTTAAATGAATCATACAAGGACATTAAAGCACAGATCCTGCTGATGAAACCTTTTCCCACTTTAAATGATGTCTATGCTACCATCCAGGAAGAGAAAAGAAGGCAGATATCAGTAGAAGAAACTGTGAATGGGCACCTATCCTTCATGGCCAAAGGAAACTGGAGAGAAAGTGGTAAACAAGGCTCCCCACTGCAGAAGAAGGACTACTACTGCACCTTAAGATCTCAGGACTTTTAAAGCCAACCCAAATAGGCCTGTATGTTCACATTACCAAATGCCTAGCCACAAAGCTGATAAGTACTTCAAACTCCATGGATATCCGTCAACTCTCAGAAATGATGGAAAGAACATATACAGACCAGCTGCAAATCAAGCCACTGCCACTGTGACTCCAAATTAGGAATTGAACAACAAGGCTCAAGTGCCAATGACTCAAGAGCAATATTTTCAACTCATGGTTATTTTGAAACCATCCACTAACCAGGGTCAAAACAATGAATCCAACTCTGGAATATCATTCCAAAAATCTGTGGTACATCATATTGCTTATCCACTACTAGAACTAAGCACTTTGACAAACTCAATGCTCCTTAGATTCTGGACACTGGTGCAACAGACCATATGATCTGTTCACCATCTTATTTCACCTCCACTAAGTCACATATTGACTATTTTGTTTCCCTGCCAAATGGGAACACTGTCCCCGTTACTTAGATTGGGACAACCGAAATCACCAAAACTTTAAATCTTCATGATGTGCTATTTGTTCCCTCTTTTGATTTTAATCTGATATCTGTTAGAAAGTTAGCTTTGGAATCATATTGCTGTGTCATTTTTCTTTCTGATTATTGTTACATACAGGACCTCTTGACTTGGACCACGACTGGAATGGGTGAATTGAAGTCAGGCCTTTACCATATGATGAAGACACTAGTTTCTCCTGCAGCTCTTCAACAAAGTCTGAACCAGTTAATGAAAGGATCATGTATTGCAGCACCTGTGACTACCCTTTCAGAACCCTTTGATATCTGGCACTACAGATTGGGGCATCCGTCATTTTCTATTTTTTCCAACAAAGCCATTCCCAAACTAGATAGGTCAAAGCCATTTTATATTTGTCCTTTAGTGCACAAGCTTCCATTTCCTGTAAGTCAGCACAAATCAGAAGCATGCTTTGATTTAATACACATTGATCTTTGGGGGCCTGGTAATGAAACAAGCTATGATGGAAATTTCAATAGATCAACTTTGGCATACATGCTAAAATTTAAAGTTGAAGCATCAAAAGCCTTACATGCCTTTTACCTCATGATAGAAACTCAATTCAAGACTAAAATAAAGATCATTCGATCTAATAATGGGGGGAATTTAATATGAGAGATTTTTTTCTTGAAAAGGGGATTATCCATCAAAAATCATGTGTTGAGACTCATCAACAAAATGTAATAGTTGAGAGGAAGCATAAACACATTTTAAACATTGCAAGAGCCCTGAGGTTTCAAAGTAGATTGCCATTAAGGTATTGGAATGAATGTGTCATGACTTCATTGTATTTCATCAATAAAACACCATCGTCTATTCTGAATCACAAAAGCCCCTTTGAAATTCTATTCCAAAAGGAACCAGCATACTATCACCTCAAGGTCTTTGGGTGTCTTGCCTTTGCCACTACCCTCATGCAAGGCAGACACAAATTCGATTCTAGGCCAAAAAGTGTGTGTTCCTTGGATATCCTTTTAGGATTAAGGGATATAAATTCATTGATTTACAAACTAAAACAATCTTTGTGTCCAGAAATGTTATTTTTCATGAAACTATCTTCCCTTTCAAAGAAGGCAAAACTACAGAGCCCAATAATGCTAGACATCTTACTGATTCTTGTTTCTATCAAGATTCACCAATTCTTACTACAAACAATCACACATTACTGGAACCTAAAGAGCCAGATATCCAACCTATCTCTTACCATGAAGGTGACAGTGAACACTATGACACAAATCAAAACCAAACTGAACAACCTGTAGAGCAAACAGACCTACAGGCTGATGAACCAATAAATTCTCCCTTACCAAGGAGGTCCACCAGAATCAAAATAACTCCCCAGTACTTGCAGGATTTCATATGTCAACAGGTGACTTCATTCACTCTATTGCAGAGCTTGGCCAGGATAAAAGGATCTGTAATCTCAGGCAGCCCTTATCCTCTTAGCAACAGTGTCTCTTATAAAAGGCTAACCATTCCTCATAAAGCTTTTGTCAGCTCCATAACTTCTCAAATTGAACCAAAATATTTTCAAGAAGCCATCAAGCACCCTGAATGGTGTGAAGCAATGAGGATAGAAATTGAAGCTCTTGAGTCAAATAACACATGGGCCATTGTTGATGTGCCACCTGATAAGGAAGCAATTTGATGCAAATGGGTGTATAAGATCAAGTTCAAAGCTGATGGAAGCATCAAACGGTACAAAGCCAGGCTGGTTTCAAAAGTTTATACACAGCAAGAGGGCTTGGATTATCATGAGACCTTTTCTCCTGTGGCAAAGGTGGTCACCATTCGTAGTTTACTAGCAATTGCAGCCATGAAATGGTGGTTCTTATACCAATTAGATGTCAACAATGCATTTTTACATGGTGATTTGAATGAAGATGTGTATATGCAGTTGCCTCCTGGATATGACAACAATGAGAAATCAAAGGTGTGCAAGTTACATCAAAGGTGTGCAAGTTACATAGAAGCAAGCTTTAAGGCAGTGGTATGTAAAGTTTTTTGCATTCATCACTCAGCATGATTTATCCGATCAAAGGCAGATTACAGTTTATTCATTGAGGTTACAAAGAGTACTTTCACAGCAATCCTAGTGTACGTTGATGATGTTATCCAGCAGGAGATTGTATGGACACTATCAATGAACTTAAGGTTGCACTTGATGAGAAATTTAATATCAAAGACTTGGGGAAATTGAAGTACTTTCTGGGAATAGCATTGGAAAGAACAAAGCAAGGAATACACATATGTCAAAGAAAATATGATCTTGACATTTTGGGGGATTCAGGTACCATATGATCAACACCTTCAAAGATACCTCTTGATCAAAATGTCAAATTGAGTAAAGAAAAAGGTGAATTGCTTCCTGATCCTTCTATCTACAGGAGGTTAATAGGGCGATTATTGTACCTAACTATAACGAGGCCAGACCTCTCATATTCAATACAGCTTTTGAGCCTGTACATGGATAAGCCTAGAGTGCAACACCTCCATGCAGCATACAAAGTACTGAAGTATATCAAAGAGCACCGGGACAGGGATTACTCTATCCTACGACTTGTGATGTGCAGCTCAAAGCATACTCAGACTCGCTGCTTGTCTAGAAAACTAAGAGATCTGTCACTGGTTACTGCGTGTTCATTGGTTCATCACTTGTATCATGGAAGTCAAAGAAGCAAGGTGTCGTCTCAAGGTCCTCTTCAGAAGTAGAGTATAGAGGAATAGCGCAGACGTGTTGTGAAGTAACATGGATGAAGCATTTATTGGAAGATCTGCAAATTGAACAAAATTAGCCAGCAAAGTTGTAATATGACAATATATACATTGCCACTAATCCCATTTTCACGAAAGGACGAAGCATATAGAAATAGATTGCCATGTTGTGAGAGATAAAATTCAAAATGAGAGTATAGTTACTGAGTATGTTCACACTAGATCCCAATTGGCTGACATGTTAACAAAGGCCTTGAATTCTTCAAGCCTCTACTCACATATGATCAAGATGGGAGTAGTTGATATCTACTCCCCATCTTGCGGGGGTGTTGAATTATGATGATGAAGCTAACCGTGTGGTAGATGACATGGTAGCAGATGAAATGGCATTATAGTTAGCCAAACGAGATGACTCAAGCATCAATGGTGGTCCAGCATTGAGGGAATGATCTAGAAGAGAAAAAGGATCTAGAAAAATTCATCACATGTAGTTTGTTATTTTTTTTGTAACCATATTTGATTCTTTGTAAATA